TCTGCCCACCAGCTGTCCTTATTGTTAGTGTATTTTATGTGTGGCCCAAGACAATTCCTTTTCTTCCAATGTGGCCCAAGAAAGTCAAAAAGTTGGACACCTCTGGTTTAGAAAGTTTGGAGACTTGCTTTAGTTCATTGGATTGTTGGCTGATTGACTTTGGTTGTACATTTTTGGGTCTGTTGTCCTTATTAAGGGTATGCCATCAAAGTATTAAAAAAAAATAAAAAATAAATAAATATAAATATATATTTGTTGTCTACTGAAATCAACCAACCTCAACTGAAATCTTGCCACCAACATGCTGGAAATCTGGCTGTGTGATCTGTGTTAAGACAGCAGTTTCCAGGGATCCAACATAGTCCAATCAATACTAGTGCTCTTGGAGAATAATTGTTATTGGTTCAACTACTGTGCAGAAGGCGGGTCAGACCACTGCACTTTGTGTGTAAGCAGCGGTCTGAAATGCCAGCGTGCTGACTCAGGACAATTTCATATATTGGCAAAGAAAACTCATATTTTTTTATACAGCCTAATTGTAAATCCTTATTAAAGCAGAACTTCATCCAAAAGGGGAAGTTCTGCTTGTTTGCCTCCTCCCCCCTCCACTGTCACATTTGGCACTTTTTGGAGAGGGGGGGGCAGGTACCTGGTTTTGACAGGTACCCGCTCCCACTTCCGGTCAGATGTTCCATGGCTATCTGAGCCAGAAGTTCGCCCCCCTGCCTTCTGGAACACTTTACAGGTCCTAAACGACTGCGGGACCATTTACAAAGCATAATGCGCTTCGCACATACGCAGTAGGAAACTAGCTGTGAAGCCACAAGTCTTCACTTCAGGTTTCCCTTACTGAAGATGCCGGCACCTCCATCCAAAGCTGATTGAAGAATCGCCTTGGGTGAGGATATTGCTGAATCCTTGGACAGGTAAGTGTCCTTATTTTAAAAGTCAGCAGCTATAGTTTTTGTAGCTGCTGACTGTTAACTTGTAGGGGGAGCCTGGATCTCCTCTTTAAAATATATAGGTTGATTAGATTGAAAGTTGTTTTATTTATTTATTTTACAAAGGGGGAGGGAAGGTTGGAATTAGTTTATGTCTGTCTGTATCCCCATTGGGGAGCTTCAGCCTCACTTTCTGTCTGATGACAGGGTGTCACAAGAACAGGAAGTGATGGAATATCTCCTTGGTTGGAAACAAAGAAACAATAATACACATGCATTTAGTAGAATAGCAAAAAGTTAAAACATCTTTTACATTTGTATTGATTTGTCTATTTTTTAGTAAAGGTGACAACACATCATCTAATTTCTTGTTCTGGTATCACCAAGACAGTAAGTGAGGAAACTTTCTCCTAATGAGCACACAGACAATAATAAAAGATTAACTCGTATCCACTCTGTCAAAAAATTAATTGGCCAGAGATGGTCTTTAAGGATAACATTTAATGTAGTTATATGACAGCAGACAGACAGTATGACTGCCATATATGTAGATATGTAGAATAATTGTGGCAAAAACACTCATGGAGATACTCCCAGTGCTGGAATAATCATAGGGGGCACAATAGCAATTAGGTAGGAGATACTCTCTAGCAATCAGTCATCATTGAAGTGTCTGAGCATGCAAGCAATGGCCTGTAAGGATTGTCCCTTGATCCAGTAGTTTTTGACCAGAGAGCAGGTTGTGATTCTCTCCTGTCTGTGAGGTTGGCCATACATGCTTATCACATCATTTTGCCAGGTACAATAGAGAGCATCTGCCTGTCCTTGAGCCAAGTGTTACCTGCTGCCAAGTGTTACCTGCTCTATATGTAGCTAGGCTGTGTTGTGTAACAGCACAATCAACACCTTCCTTTTTGTTTTCTCTATAGAGATAGGAAAAGATCCCTTGGTCTGATCTTTGCACAGAAAGCTCAAATTAACCACTTGCCCTCCAGGAGATTTACCCCCCTTCCTGACCAGGACATTTTTTGCGATACGGCACTGCGTTACTTTAACTGACAATTGTACGATCCTGCAATGCTGTACATGAATGAAATTTATGTAATTTTTTTTCCCCACAAATGGAGCTTTCTTTCGGTGGTATTTGGTCGCCTTTTTTGCTAAACATTCAATAAAAAATTTTAAACAGTCAAATTTCTTCATAAATTTAGGCCAAAATTCTGTATTCTGCTCCATGTCTTTGCTAAAACAAATCCCAATAAGTGTATATTAATTGGTTTACGGGAAAGTTATAGCGTCTACAAATGGCGGTATAAATACTGGAATTTTTTTAATTTATTTTTTATATTAGTAATGGCGGCAATCAGCGACTTATAGCAGAACGGCTGTGGGCATTCTGACACTGAGTGGGAACTGGATAACTACCACTGACATCCCCAGTGACACTAATACAGTGATCAGTGCTACTATAAAGCACTGACACTGTTCTAATGACACTAGGCAGGAAGGGGTTAACATCTGGGGCTTGCAAAGAGTTAACTGTGTGTTAGGGAGTGTTTTTATTGTGTACTGTGTGCTGTTTTACTAAGCAGACCTGCTTTCTATCTCTCTGCTGTGCAGAGAGATAGAAAGTGGCACATTCAGGCTGACAGGAAGAGATCTGTGTTGTTTACACACATATCTCTCCCCTCTCAGCTTCAGCGACAATCATTGAGTCCTGGACATTGTGATTGACATCTTCAGAAGCCAATAGTAGGGCAGCGCATGCGTGCGCGCCCCCCTACCCGGAAGTGCACATTTTTATATGTTTACATGATTTTGCACAGCGAAGCCGCCCTGTAGCAATGCATCTGCTATAGGGCGGCAGGCAACTAGTTAAATAAAAAAAAAAAACTAAACTTTTTTTTCTTTTGGGTGGATACTGATGGGTTGAATTAAATACTGACTTATGAGAAGGCTTAGGAACTCCAGAGAGCAGTTTTTCCTGTGCTCCTTACAGTAGTAGATAAGCCTTGATCCTATCTGATGAATTTAAATGGATCATGGAGCACCATTTACTTTACTTAACTTGAAGAAGTTAAAGCGGAACTTGATGCTCTCCATCAACATTGGCTATTTTTAATCCTTATGTTGCTATCATTAGTAAATAGATAGGAAGGTATATTTTATTAACTTGTTTTAAACTTTATTTTCTTCATATCTCCAGTTATGTCCTGGTTTCCATGCTTAGGCAAATGATGGCATACATCCCAGGAGTTTTAAGGCAGGGAGGAGGGGTTTTCTTAGCTAAGCACAACCTCCTGCTTGCATACCTGAACTAAGGGCAAATGGATTCCAAGAAGTAAATGCTACATGAATCATCTGCCCTTACGTAAGATGGCCACGGCCAGAAATGCTAGGGGGGGTGATTTTTCAAAGTGATTTCTCACTGCTTTGAATATTAAAAATTAATTAAATAACATTTTGGGTTTGTGGTGCTCAGATGCTGTGTAGTTCCGCTTTAAACCTGACCTTCACTCACTAAAACCATCTTTGCAACCCTAATCTTGAAAGACATTTTTTGTTTTGTTTAGTTTCCTTTCTTGTTTACATTTTTCTTTTTTGGGGGATCCGGCTGGCCCCTCCATCCATTTTTACCTAGGTGGGCATGATGTGCCCTTTGCTCCAGCAGTCTCCTGGAATATATCCATGTGAGATATCCCAGGAAGTATTTGTATAATTATATGCAGCACTAAAAATAGATAAATAATAATAATCATATGATCAAAAGTCAATATAACATTTCAAAATCTGAGATAGTTTACTTCCAGAGAGTAGTCCCAACAGCCGTCAGCATGAAATATTTCACACGGCACCACAGTGAAAGAGCCAATCTGCTTACCAGAACATGTTGACCCTCAATCTATGAGAGGCCAAACTGCTCCTCACAGATGTCTCGCTCAAAGGCTCCAACACTCCGGCATTGGCTTTAACCAGACTGCCCTCTGCACTCCATCCAATAAGTATAACCCCCTGGATGTCTAATGTGGTCAACTGTGCCAATAAAGGATGTCACTAGGACTTCCACATTGCCCAATCACCACATATGCTAAGGTCACATTACCCAAGGTAAGTGGAAATGCACCTCACAGAACCACAAACAAACTTCCATAGTATAGTAATTTAAAAAAGCACCTTTACTACAAAACTATTGCATTCACATATGTACACAAAAAATGCGCATTACTCATCCAACAAAATGGCCACGGCATCCAATGAGATGACATCACACAGCACAAGTCCCGCCCTATGCATTTCATCACAGACTGACGTCATCAGGGGCGTATGGCCTTATAGAGAGTGGCTGGAGAAGAGCGGACCTAGGGGTGCATCACTGAACACCAGCTTCAAAAACCCAGAAGAGAGAGCTGGATCCTGAAGATGAAAGGGAAAAAAATGGCAGCGTGGGACCCAACGTGTGGTGTTGGCCAATCACAGCAGGACAATGCTGGGCTCCCTGGATATGTGAGTATGTTATTTGAACACAATTCAGCCAATAAAGTAACAGGTGGTTCAAAGCAAAATGTACCCCACAGGTGGCTGGGCAGAGGGGTGTTGGGCATCTGACTTTTACATACTATCAGTCTATTGCAGTTCCTGTAAAGCAAAGCTCAGAAAGGGGGAGTGAGAGGCAGCTCTAGGAGCCAATAAGGTCTGCTGCATTGCAAGGGGCATGCTGCCTGAAGGAGAGCGGGATGAGCTCAACGGTGTGACTCTTTTCACTGCCAGTCACAGGCTGGAGGTAGGAAGGAAGCCTGTAATTAAAGGAGAAAAAAACAGAAAGATCTGATCCCTGCCATTACCATGTAAGGCTGTACTGTGTGGCAGAGCTGTGTAAACCTCATTTCTGGGAGACCAAAAAATAATCCTTTGACTAGTCCAGTAGCTCTCAATTATGTATTTCATCTGTGAATTTAAATATTTGCCCAGAGTTCAGCTTTAAGTATTAAAAGTTGTGACAAATCTTTTATTAAACATTCAGAAGTACATGAGACTGAACTGTGTTGTTTCTCTAACAGAATGGAGAAGATATTTCTGTACGGATTGGTTCTGTGCTGGAATGTTATTCTGTGCGCAACCTGTGAGCTTTCTAATATTACGATTGTGCTGGAAAAGGAGGAATGTGGAGCCTGCATCTCTGTGAATGCAACTTGGTGCTCAGGATACTGCCACACCATGGTGAGTGTGATAAGGAGTTTATAGATTAAAAAAGATTCTATATTCAAAACCTGCATCCTAAGGCCAACACAGAATAGGAGTACAATGAAGACTACCCATCATAGGACACCCAGTCTACTAAAAGATAGCAGTGAATGCTGGGCCTTGTAGTTTCCTAGCAGTAGTAGAGAAAGAGCTTGCCTATACTTATAGAAGATGTATGATACCACGTGGCTGTAGGAACATAAGTCACACTCATGTGGTTATATAGTTACAGCAGAACTAAATTCACAATATACTTAGATTCCACCTCTCTGTTGTGGTTGCATCACTTGGCAGCCACTGTCATCTTCTCTCCAGGTGCCGGGTTTTCAGGCTCTTGATTGGCTGGTAGGGGGTGACGTCATCCTGCGCATGTGCACAGGAGTCAGGCATTGCAGCACATCCGGAGAATCATGGGAATACACTCTGAGCTGTGCATGTGCAGACAGATAAGTGTATTTTTGTAGAAGAGACATAGCGAGGTTCATTTACTAAAGCTGGAGAGTGCAAAATCAGGGTCACCTCCACATAGAAACCAATCCGTTTCTAACCTCAGCTTGTTCAGTTAAGCTTTGGCGATAAAACCTAGAAGCTGACTGGTGTCTATGCAGAAGTGATTTTGCACTCTCCAGCTTTAGTAAATAAACCCTGCTGCCTGCTCACAATTTTCAAGAACTTAGGTTTAGTTCCACTTTACTTGGTGGCTTGATCAAATACAGTCAATTATTTTTCATTTTATCCATATAAAGAAATTGGTCATATTAAGTCTACTAAGGGCTCACAGCTGTTAAAGAAAATCTGTTGTAAGAAAAGCATGGATTCTGCCATTTCTTTTTTTTATATATATTCCAATTTTTATTTCCAGAGACTCTCAAATACAGAGCAAAGAATTACATACTAAGTTATAATGTTACTGTAAAAAGGATTACCCCAAATTATCTACATAACAGTTCAAAGTACTATATAATATTCTTCTAAAACATGGCGCAATATTGAACATGAAAAATTAAAGAAAGAGAAAAAAGAAAAAATGCAAAATTGCAAAGCGTAGGCTTAGCCATTCACCATAGCTCACACCTTCAAGATTACCTGATTTTTCTTTTTTTTTTTTTTTTTTTTTTTTAAAGAAAAACCAAAAATGTAAAAAAAAAAAGCCAAAAATTACGAAATTACATTAATAATATAATGATAATTAGTGTAAAACAGAACAGATTAATAGAAATGAAAAGAAAAAAGGAGAAAACGGAAAAAAGGGAGCAAGTCCTGTAGCGGTCACCACTGAAAGGTAAGATTAATGTAAATTACTCTGATAGAATTTACAGTAAGAAAATGAATAACGAAGTGTAGCACAATAGACTAAGATCTCATAGAAAAATAAATATTAAACAATTATTAAAGTCCCATGAAAAATTCTCTTATAACACCATTGTGCAATGTGTATACGATAAATCTTCTCTCTTCTTCAATGCCAACTCTGCCACCACCATTAGGTGGTGGCACAGGCACAGTGGTCAAGTGGCACAGTGGTCACTTCATGACCTCATTAATAGGTCATTATGCACTCAATATGTGGACAGACTTGTGTACACCCTCTGTGGTCTTCCTCCAGCTCCTCTCCTAGCAATGCCACAGTATACACTCCTCCAGCTGATGCTCTCTGTAAGAAACAAGCCAGCATATAATGTATAATTTCGTTACATGTCTCACCACCCCGCTCTCCCAGATGGTCATCAGTTCTAAACTTCTAGGGCTCAGCTCCTTCCACCTATACACGTTACACCCCAGATTCAGGCTTCCTCATTTAACGGTGGTGGCACGGTTGGCACTGGAGAAGAGAGATTATCTTATAAACATTTCAGAGTGGTGTTATTAGAGACTTTTTCATGGGACTTTAATTATTGTTTAATATTTATTTTTATATGAGATATTAGTCTGTTGTGATATACTTTATTGTTCATTTTGGTACAGGTGTTGTGAAGTCACTAACAGTTTTCTCATTAAGCATGTTAGACTTAAATCAACATGGAGCTTACCCACCCTAAGTGTTGGGGATGCAAACTAAGTAAGGCCCCTTCCACACGAGGCAGACCCCACCAGGAGTCCTGCTCAGTGGGGGAGCTGTCCACTGATCCCCGCTGAGCAGGCGGATGACTAGTCCATGTCTGCTCCGCTTATGCAGAGCAGACACAGCCTTCTCTCCTCTATGGGTGGTCGGATGTAAACAGATCATCTGTCCGTTTACACATGACTCCCATTGGATCCGCTAGATCAGGGCTTGAAATTTCCACTCGCCTGCTCGCCAATGGCGAGTGGAAATTATGGTGAGGGCGAGTGTCTCCCCCAGAGCCATCTTGCTGAGCAGGCTCGGAGCTCAGGCCAGATCTGTCATTGGCACTGAGAGCCGTCAGATTGCTCAATAGCTGAGCGCAGTGTAAAGCAAGGAGTGCATGCTGTGCTCTCTGCCTAGAGTGCAGTACCCAGATATGTGAGTGAACAACGAAGTACGCAACTTTTTATGGGGGGATGGTGGTGGTGTGTGTACGTGTACATGTGTGTGTGTTTCTATGTACAATTGTACATGTGTCTGTGTGTGTGTACACAAGTGTGTATCTGTACATGTGTCTGCGTGTATGTACATGTATGTGTGTATGTAAATGTGTCTGTGTGTGTATGTATGTACATGTGTCTGTGTATGTATGTACATGTGTCTGTGTGTATGTACATGTGTCTGTGCGTGTGTATTTCTGTGTATGTACATGTATCTGTGTGTATACGTGTCTGTGTGTGTATACATGTGTCTGTATGTGCGTGTGAGTACATGTTTCTGTGTGTGTGTATGTAAATGTCTGTGTGTACAGGTGTCTCTGTGTGTGTTTTTGGTGGTGAGTAACTCTAAGGCCTGGCTAGTAGCTCAGGACTTGAAATTTAATGCCCTGCGCTAGATGGATGGGGAACGGATCCCCATCTGTCTGTTTTTAGTGGATCAGATAGGATGTCAGCAGATGTAAACGGACATGTCATAGAGGATGATGGAGGGTCCAATCGGGTCCTTCTGAAAAACTGACAGGCGGACTCGATCGGTCTGCCCGTGTGAAAGGGAGGATGTCACATCAAGAGAACTGCTACTTTGTCCTAAATAGGTAGTGACAGATAATTTTTAATGAAATGGCAAAAATATAGAAGATGCAAAAATGCACAGTGCATTACACAGCTCCCTTTTTTTGAAGTGACACTTCATTCATGTCACCGTACAGCAGTGTGATGTGCTGCACTGCTCTACATTGACATGCGATCCCGTCCAGTGCACTGTGATAAAATGTAATATATAGCATGTCTCCATTTTTCCCAGCTCTGGGGTGTGTTGCAGTGTGAATAGGATACCAAGAAAACAATTGATTCACTGCATTATGTGTGAACTGGCCCTTAATGTACAGACTAACATGCGCTGATTTTGGATGCATTACTTGCATATTGTGCTAAATAAATGATTTAAAAAAATATCATGACCCCTATAGACCAGGATATGATGTACTAATCTAGCATGCACAAGTGGTATACATCCCAGTATTCCACTTGTTACTTGGTGGAGTTCCCTTATTTCCAAACATGAATACAGGGATGAATTCTTACAGGGCTCATGTAGGGGAAATATTAAAAAGCCCTCAGTAGATTGCTAAGGGTTAATAGCGCAAACAAGGCGAGTGTTTGACTCATTCATGTCTGAATTCACTCCATTTTTGTAGCAGTTCAGAGCTATCAGTCGCAGTGTTCATAACCTGCTAGCTTTGTTTTAGGCAGTGATAAAATGTGACACAGTCATGTGGGAGGAAAGCTGAGGCAGGCTTCTGTGGTTTATGGAGAGAAGTGAGTCAGAAAGAGCTCTTGTCAATTTCTGTAGAATTAGATTACATGCAGCCTGTTCATTCTGAGGACATCTCCCCTCCAAGTGGTTGTAAAGGCTAAAGTTTTTTTTTAACTTTAATGCATTTTCTGCATTAAGATAAAAGACTTTTTTCGTGCAGCTCCCCCCTTATATATATACCTGACCCCGATCTTGTTGGCAATCAAATCAAGTGATGCGGGAGTGGGGCTGAGCCATGCTGTGTGTGTCAATAGATGCACACAGTGCAGCTCAGGATCGAGCCTGCACAAGTGGCAGAGGGGAGAAGTCAGAAATGCTGAATCGGGGCTGCTCTGTGCAAAACGATTGCACAGAGCAGGCAAGTATGACATGTTTGGTATTTTAAAAAAAAATCAAAGAACTTTTGCAATTGCTTTAATTATTTCAGATGAGGGAGGAAAATGTAAGAACCAGATTGGAGTTTATCTATACACATTGGCATATATTTTCCATCTTTGTTTATTTTAAATATTTTCCACTTACATTTCAGGATCCAAATTTAATGTACCCACAAACATCCGAGAAGCAAGGTGTCTGCACGTACACTGAGGTCATTTATGAAACAGTGAAAATTCCGGGATGTGCTGAGAATGTAAATCCTTTCTACACTTATCCTGTAGCTGTTGACTGTTACTGTGGACGATGCAATTCAGAAACCACTGATTGTACAGTGAGGGCTTTGGGGCCTACTTACTGTTCTCTGAATGATGCCTAAGTAGTGGAGATTGTACTGTTATACTTTCCAGTCTGACATATACATACTTGTCTCTCTTACCACTTGCAATGCCAAAGCCTCTAACTAAGGTGGGACAACCAAAGCCCTTCAGCTGTTGAGGAACTACACACTCCAACATGTCTTATATGTTTTTCAATGAATACAAGGCATTCTTTGATCGAACAAGGTATAGACCCATCTCATCCGCCCCTTTTCTCCAACTTGTCCAATCAGAGAAAGCCTTGTATTACAAGATATTCTCTGAATGACCAAGGTGCCGAGAGAGCAACCCTTTTTGTCCAGAATACAGAAGGCAAGTCGCTCAGAAGACTTCAGCAATGACTGTATGTAGCACAGGCTGCCTCTCCAGCAGCTCTTGGGGTGTGAGGGATGAAAAATTAGATGTACTGCAGCTGGACCAATCGAAGTTTAAAAAAAAAGATCATTCCTGGAGTTCAGCTTTAATATTTTCCCTTCTTTATGTTAAAAGGCTGTAGGCACATTCCATCAACAGCTGAAGGTCTGCAGGTTTTTATGTCTACTAAGCAATACAATTCTGTTTCAAATGTAAAGCAGATATTTCATTTTCTCGAAGGGTTCCATTCATAAAGCAACAACTTGGCCAACCCTGCTGCTTTAAATTGGCAATAAATAATATCCTTATTTTCTGATTTAATCCATTTATATCCACTACGTAATGGCCCTGCAATCTATTTTTCATCAAATTGTTTCTCAGTGTGTTTTTCTGCCTCCTTGTAATGTCCTCCATGAGCTCTCCTTTTCCCCTCATTTTTGTTTGTAACGAGGAGTGCATGTTAGTTGTGCTCTTGTGACGGTCTCTTTGCACACTACAAATCCCATAGTCCCCAATCCATTTTAGCAGCAAGCAAGATATGGTGGCTATGTTCCTACATGTAGTTGGATCATGGCGAATGAACATAGCTACCCTCTAAAAAAAAGTCATTTCACATCAGCAAAAAAAAACAAAACTTGTGAACTTGGAGAAGGTACCTTTCTGAGTTAAAGTGGAAGTAAAGTCTTTTTTTTTAATTGTACCTACAGGCAAGTCTATAATAAGACTTACCTCTGGGTACAGCGAATATCTTCTAAACTTGCACTGTTTAGGAGATATTCACACTTCATGCAGCTGGTGACATCATTGGTGCATGCGCTCTAAAGCCACAGCCGAAACTACCATGCGCATGCACAGGAGTGGTGTCATCACGGGTTGGCCAGTCAGACAGCTGGAGCACGCAAACCCGGAAGGAAGACTGAATGAAGATGGAAGGCCCTGTCAGTGGTGACAGTGCGCCGGTGGAGGGCTTCATTCTAAGGTAAGCATTTCATAATGTGCTAGTATGTGATGCATAAGCACATTATGTCATTGTCTTGCAGGTTTTTTGTTTTTTTTTTAAAGCCGTGGTTTACTTCTGTTTTAAGAATAGAATTGATTTTTGTTTTTAAACCAGAGTTTGGTATCACTTTAAAAGACAGGTTCACTTTTAGGAACATGTTACACCTGTTTTTAGGGTGAAACATGTAACATATCCCCACTCCTGCAGCCGCTGCCTTCTCCACTGCATCTAACGACAGCAAGAGGGAGATCTTCTTCCCCCCGCTTGCTGTCACTATTTTTAAAAAAACATGGCCGTGCAATGGGAATCTACAAGTTCTGACAGCCTATGCGGCTGTTGACTTGTAGTTCTCAATGAACTACCATCGCGCTGTTCAGCGCTGTGGTAGTTCATTGTCTCTTCCTGTCAGTGTGTATCTGCCGGCCTGTATGAGCAAGTCTGTAGGAGTCCTGCATGGCACCCACAATCTGATCACATGTGTAATGCTTTCCAGGCTTCAAGTTAAAGATAATAAATGCACATTTTTATACCTGCAAAAAAATGTGTATTTATGTATTTATTTTTTTAAAAGGTGGACCTATCCATTAAAGCATACAGAACTCCATGAGCTACCACAGCAGGGCTTACACCATGGCTTAGAATTTGTGAGGTGGCTGTTTAAATGCTGCACTATGGAGTAACCTAGCGTTGTATAGTGATATCTACTTTCCTTTACAAATAAGCCCCAATCACATGTAACCTAAATAGAACAATATATTAAACCCTTGCCCCTCTGTTTTTCATTTTATCACTTAAACAAATTGCTTGGTAGAAAAAATATATACAGGAATGTTGAAATACAGTATTTATGCTGTAATGTATGTGCTATATAGAATATATATATTTAGATGTTTACCTCTTCTCATGTGCCATGCTGCAATATGTCTCTGAATTTCATTAGTCCCAAGTCATGTCAGTAGTTACAAGATCATGTCCCTCTGAACTATGCTCCATGCGGTTGTTTAATAGAAGGTTTAATGGCACTGTAATAGGACAGGTCAGTGCCCAGGCGTGGCTCTGTAGCTCTTGTCCAGCTATGATAGTTTAGTCTAAATTGACAATTGAGCATTTGAAGGTCTGTTCCAGGCAAAACTGATTGGATATTGTTGTTTCTGATAGAATCTATTTTGGAGACGCCTCCTTACTTCCTGTCTGTTTAATGGAACAGGAGGCAAGTTAACACCTCTTCACAGAACAGGGTGTGAGGGTAAATGCTCCTGATAGGGACTCCGGCAGCAGTAGAAACTGGACATTTTAGAACTTCTGTCAGGATTTTGCTGCTCAAAGTAAATGTAAAAGATGAGATCACCACACATTTGTAATGAGTCCAGTATAACTTTATTAATCTTGATAAAAAGATCAGAGGGTAAAAGCCAACACATTTCGGGGGCTCACAAGTATCTCTTCATCAAGACTTGGATGCTAGTGGCAATAGGAGAAGACACTGGAAAATGAATGCAAAGAATCAAGAATTCTAACAGCCACTGTCATACTGTCCCCCGCATTGTCATTGCAATCCTTGATTCTTTGCATTTACTGTCTAGTATCTTCTCCTATCTAGGGTTGCCACATCATCCCTTTAAAACTGAACACATATTAATTACACAGGTTCTGTAGCTGATTAAGGTGGCAATTAAACTCACTTAGTGCCTTATCTGCATTAAATTAGCCTCAGAACCTGTGTAATTAATATGTTTTATTGGTTTTAAAGGGATGAGGTGGCAACCCTACTCCTATCACCACCATCATCCAAGCCTTGATGAAGGGGGAATTGTAAGCCCCCAAAATGCATTTTACCTACCAATCTTTTATCAAAATGAATAAATAGGTACTGGACTTATTACAAAAGTGCAGCATTCTCATCATCGCTGTGGGAACCATAGGGATACCCTGTATGATAGACACCTGCCTCCTAAAACTGGACATCACATCTGAACATACCTTCCTTTGGATCCAGCCCTCCAACACTCATTTAGGATTTTACTAATGTCTGTGTCCCCGTGTGGTTGATTTTTCTTGTAACTGTAAATACTACCAATAACTGATTGTCCCAACATCTATTATGATGTACATTTGAGGATATTCTCTTTGTCTCTGTATGTTATCTGTAAACTTGTGTGCTAAATGTAATATGGCAAAAGCTTTGAAATTTTTATGAAAAGGTTTCTGAAGGTGCAATAAAGATGTATTTACTGTGTTATGCCTTCTGTTGATGTCTTTTTAAGTTAATATGAGTGTTTGGGATTATTTTGGTTTTGTGTTTTTCAGCTATGCTCTCTGTTCACCGATTCCCTTTTTTCAGTTTTTATTTAGACCTCATGCACACAGGACTTTTTTTTAACTCTCCTACAAGCCAGCAGCATTTTTGCAAAACAAAATGCCTGATGCTTGTAAATGTGTCTAAAGCTTTTACAAACTTTTAGGAGCTTTTACAGGTATCAAGCTCTTGGGCACTAATTGATTTAATTGGCCAGAATAATTGAAATGAATAAATGCTCAAGCACATTTTGCCACATTTAGCAGTCTTTAGAAGCATCAAACTTTTTTTCTGCCCATTGTTGCTGCTCCTGGACGCACTGGCAGGGTTCTTTTTTTCCTGCCTCTAAAAGCCCGTGCCACTAAAAGGTTCTAAAAGTTTATATGGGCATGGACACATAGGATAACATGGAGGGGCATTTGGAAGCAGTAAAAAAAAAAGTGAAAAAAACATCCGTCACCCCTAAATGTGGCTGCAAAAATGCCCTGTGTGAATGAGGCTTTAGAGATAAATAATATGCTTAAGGCCTCATTCACACCAGTGTGCAGAGACGGTAGTTTTTTTTCTGCACGTGTTCCGCAAGGGCACAACAAAATCAATTGTTCTCTTCTTCAAACCACAACACTGTGCAGGAATCTGCAAAGTGTATAAAACACATTGAAGCGCGCACGAAAAATTATGTAAACTTGTGTCTCTACAAGTGAAATCTGCACTTCAGTTTCCATCAGTTTTTCGGTAGGCCTTAATACACTTCCCTTTGAGGCACTACCTGCTTAGAAGCTGAAGACGTTTTGGGTCCCCCTATAGTCCTGTACCGCCAGACAACACGCATTTTCACAATAACTTCATCCAGGAGACAGTAACCAGTCAATGAGTTCTGTTTTGAAGTTTTATTAGGGGATTTGAACTGGGATAGGGTTAGGGGTGCTGGAGATGCCCAATGGAACTGTGAAACCGAGGACAACTTCCTGGAAATGTATACAAGTTTTTACAGCAAAAAATCTTCTTAGAGAGCTAGCCAGCATCTCAGATTGTAACACCGCAGACCCTAGATTCTCCTAATCCAGCCAATCTGGGTGAATCCCTGAGCAGGAGATCCAGTGCCTGTCGCTTTAAAGTAAAACAGTCCCGGGTAGTCGCTAATCTGATCTCCCTTCCTCTGTCTGGCCCAGGGGGTGCAGGTTTACTCACTTAGTCCTTCTCCTGTATTGTTGGTGGGTAGGTGGCTGCTACCAGGCCTTCTAGCTGCCACAGAGGTGGTCCACTTTCAGGGGACCAGTGAAGTCCCAAGCTTTACTCCTTCCTGTCTGAAGGCAATCCCCTCTCCCATCTGGGCCCCCTCCCAGGCT